TTTTTTTTTTTTTTTTGAGAAAAATGAATTTTAGAATAGTGATTTTTTGGAGAATGCGTGGTTGAAAATGAGTTTGAGAAAAAAATTGTTTTAATAATTGTCAAACGGGGACTTAGAAAAATATTAATGACATGTTTGATGTAAGTTTTTTGAGAAAATAGTTTGTGTGTGAAATGGTATTTGAAGAATGTATGGTTATAAAGTAGAAATAAATCATGAATTCACGTGCAAAATTATTTAATTGAAAGAATACGTGATTGGAAAATGAAATAGAAAAAAAAAGAGTTTCAAAAAATTTATACCAAATAATAAGGGCTAAAAATTACAATCATGCTACATTACTAGCAGTTAAAATAACTTTTAAAAGAAACTGATCCAATATAACTTCCTCTAAACTCACTTTCGAAATAGGAAATTTTTTTAAAAATTAGTTCTCAAACAAAAATTAAAATAGCTTCATCGGAAAAGCTCTTCTACATAATCTCACGCGCCATATATTCAACATAACATCCCGCGCTATATTTGTCCCTATTTGGTTGAGATTTTTTTTTTTTTTTTTTAGAATAAGTTTCGTAAAAAGCGATTTTTCAAAAAAAAAAAATTGTCATTGAAAATTATGAAAATATATAGATTCATGTACAAAAATATTTTATTGAAAATAATTAAAAACGAATATTAGAAATTTAGGACCAATTGGGGCATATAATAGCTTGTGAACCATAAATAAAGCAACATGTACACAGGATTTTTGCCTATACAATAAAGTGTCTCCCTAGTATACCTCGTGAACTATATGTATAAGATTTTAACTCTTTTTATGGTATGGTCTAATTTCCTTAATTTAATTTATTTATGATAATGTTATATATTTTATACTATCCTCAATTTCTCTTTAGGCTTGTTTATATATTTAAATTGTTTCGTTATATTCTCTGCACGAAAGATATATGCATCGCAAGATAATCATACAGTAAGTGATCATATTCAGATACGATTAGTTCAATATTGGCCAAAGTAAATGAATTAAATGAGTGTAAATATTGCACTAGAGCACATT